TACTTGCCTGCTGTGTTTAGAACCATGCAGGCAGCCAAAGCAATCACTTCTTTTTAACTGCAAAGGCCAGTTGAGTATCTGGTCCTCAGGGGTCACTGGGGCTTCAGAGGAACCTCTGCCCCTCTGGCCTTTCTTTTACCAGGTGTCCCATCTATATGAGTGTTAGGTCAAAACCCTTGCTTGATCAATGGCTTCATTTGGAAGCATGGAGGAAAATTCTGTCTGATGACATGCCCTTCTGTAGACTAAACACTGGTTAGAGCTGACTGGATGGCTGCTCCATAGCCTCCCTGAACAAGACAATAGGTGATTCCCTACAGTTATGCCTCAGAGGTCCCTGGGACTTAGCCAACCTTGAGGGAAAAATGGGAAATATCCTCCCTTCCAAATCCTCTGACCACATTAGTCTCCCAAGCATGGTTCCCTGAACACTTAGAAGGTCAGTGACATCCTTCTGGTACTTCTAACTACTGAGTAATATGTAAAGATGCAGGAAAACCAATTACTTAAACTTGTTTAGATGGTTTTGTTCTTGAGGCCAGTCCTTGTAATTGCTACAGAGTAGATCAACTTAAGCAGAAGTTTGCTATCAATGTGTTGAACTCTCATGTTACATACCTTATATAACTTGCCCATACTTTTCAGCTTTCTTATGACACTTAATGACATGAACAAACCTACCTGTGACGATCTTTGCAAGCTGGCCCGGCTGATGCCATGGCACTTGTTGGGATTCAAACATAGTACTGTGTAATAGCACCTTAATAAAAGAAAGTTGAATCCAAACTACATCTGTAGTAACTTAATACCGCCTGTGTACACACTGCTCCACCCAGGGGCTTGGTGAGTCCCCAGTTAACCCTTACAAAAAAAAAAAAAAAAAAAAAAAAAACAGTCTTCATACAGCACACAGTGACCTACCACAACGGTGAGTAGCAGACAACAAAACTATGGTGCTGGACATACTACTCACGAGTTGCTCTTTTCCATTAGCTGCTTTACTTTCATCATAAGATAATGAGTCACAATGCCTTTACTCTTTGATTCTGTGGCAGGCAGAAACTGCCAGAGGGCCAGCCTGACTGGAAATGCCTGGGTCTAACATCCCCAAAGCAAGCTTCTCCAGGGGCTCGGAAAGCACAGGAGAATTTAATGCACACACAAGGCATTCATTTGCTCTTCTATAAAACCAATACAGTGGTTTACAATAAACAGACTTATTGTTAAGTCCACTGACAACTGACTGGGCTGGGCTCAAAACACTGTCCCTATAACCAGTAGAGACTGATTCTGATGAGCTTCATCATCTACTGAGTCATATAATGGGGACTGGGAGGGACAGACAGACACAGAGTACATTTTCTTTCCTTTTGGAGCCTTTAAACTTTATAAAACTCTGGGTGGGCACTGGAGCAACACCCACAGTCAGGGAGGGTCGAGCTAGCCTGTCTTTCCCAATGGTCTAACCTGAGACCCTCCCCAGTTAGACCGAGGGGGCAACTGCTTGGAAGCCTATAGCCACAATCAATTTCTGGGTGTTTGCAAATGGAGCCGACAACCTGAAAAAGTCAATACCCTGTTTTTCTTTCAGTTCTTCTAATAACTAGGCTCTCTGAACAAAGGTGGGTGTGAACTCTCCTATCATCTCATGCAAGGGAAAACATCCCAGAATAAATTGGGGCCAAACCTAACAACAAACAAACAAACAAACAAAAACCAAACAAACAAACAAAAAAAAAAACCAAGAAACAAAAAACTGTAAGATTTCGTTTTCAGTGTCTAGTCTAGTCCAGTGCCATAGAAGCAGCCAAGTGGGCGATGGGAAAATCTGGCATCCATTTGTCCCTCTGCACTGAGATAGGAGGAAAGACAGGAAAGGTCAGAGTCACTCTTTCTCTGGCCCCTGTCTGCCCTGGGCAGAGGCTAGACTGAGCAGTGGGATCTCCACACCTACCTGTGCCTCAGTCACCTACTGCTCCTAGCTCCTCCTCTAGTCTTTCGCAGGGCCATCTTGTCCCCTGTCTGTCCCTGAATGGACTTGGGCCCAGATACAGTTCCCTTTGCTTCCAAGATATCTGATGCCACCACCCCTCAGAACACTTGGCTTGCTTTAAGAGCCACTTTCCATGCCTCAATGTGACACTGACCACACACCACCACGCTCAGGAAGCCCACACAATGGCTTCACATGATCTGAAGGCCAAGGTTAGGACACTTCCAATGCCCAGTAGTTCATCCCAGTGTTCAGAGCTGGAGAAGTAGATAAAGAAAGGAGGTGGAGGCTGCCAGCCACTGGAGAGAGCAGTTGCAAAGATCTAGGGAGCATTCCCATCCAGCCTCCCAGCAGAGCAGAATGATTCTGCCTGCACCTGGCCCTGCACTAACAAATTCACAGGAGTTTCCAGTGTGGCCATCTTAGCCCAGAGGCGCACGGCTGGGAAGGCCTTCCAGCCTCCTTCAGGAACTAGTTATGTGTATAAAGCTACACTGCTGAGACAGGGTCCTCTGTCACTGACACAGTGCTAGAGAAGCAACAACAAACCCCGGACCTCCTCCAAGTACATGCAACCCTGCTACCCCCACCCCAACCCACAGCCACAGTTCTTCCACTTACAGGGGACTCCAGAGTTAACCAACAGAGAGAGCTATGCACACAGTAAGACTGGGGGAAGGGACGGGGAGAAAAGAGGTGTGTGTGTGTGTGTGTGTGTGTGTGTGTGTGTGTGTGTGTGTGTGTGTGTAGCATTTGTAAAGGTCAGAGCTGTCATTGCTCAGCCTCTCCCACAGTCCACATCTTAAGAACACCAAGGAAGAGTAAGGACAAGCCTGCAGGAGCCACAGTGTTGTGAACAAACAGGTAAAGCCCCTCTGGGTGCTGGCATGTAAAGTTTTTTTTACTCAGACACAGGGCCTGTCCCCTACCTCTCTCCAGAGGCCTCCATTGGAGTTTCAGGCACTCCCTGCCTCAAATCAAAGCAAGGTCAACACTTTGCTCTGCTCTGTCGGAAAACAAGACTAGGAACTAGAATGGCTTAAGTGGGGTCCCCTGACAGTAGGACCACGAAACAAACCTGGTGCATGAGCTAGTTTGTTGGAACCCATCCCCTGTGGTGGGATGGCACACTCAGTCTTGGCGCATGGGAGAGGGGCCCGGCCCTGCCCAACTCATTGAACCACACTATATGGACTCCTCATGGGAGCCCTTACCCGTGAGGAGAGTGAACTGGGAGTAAATTAGAGGGAGGTGAGGGAGACAGGAGAAGGTGAAGGTAATGGGGGAAGAACTGTGGTTGGAATGTTAAATGAAATAAAAAAAGAAAAAGAAAGAAATGAAAAAAAAGTTCAACAAGTTTTTCCTCCTCCATGCCCAGGTGCCTGCATTCAGCTAAAAGTGTGATGATCCAAGTGACATTCTCTGTGCATACCCAGGGAGGAACTAGCCATCCTCTATTATTACTCATCAGGAGCATGATCAATGATTATAAATATTATTACTGGGATCCAACCCTCGTGCTTCTTGGTTTAGGGGTGGCAGCAGAACTCCCTACCCAGCCACAAGGTAAAAGTGCACCATTCTACCAACACACTCTTCCCCTTCTCTGGGAGGAGATGAGAGCTAACTTGGATTCTGACCTTGCTATGCAGAGTCCCACTGCAGGGAAGGGGACCTGCCGAGTCCTCCTGGTTTTCACTCAGATGTACTTGCATAGATGTCATCTCAAATCCTGGCTGATCCCTAGGAAATGTAATGGGGTGCTGGTTCTTGTCTAGGGGATCAGTAAGCACTTTCCCAAGGCTGGACAAAGAATTCAACATCTAGGAAGGGCAGGAGACCCAGCTGCCAAGAAAGCAAAAGGAACAGCTTTATCCCTTCTGGTTGAGAGGGACCCAAAAGTCTGGGAGTGTGCTGAAGGGAATGTACGTTGTATTTTATAGGGCCCTTGGGTCCTCCCTTCCTCAACTGTCCTGTCTGGACACCTTCCCCACCATTTCTCCTCCCATTGTCTTCTGGGAACAAGTAACTATCCCAGGAAGACTCTTGCCTTCCCGTCTATCCATGTTCCTCTAACTCTCCCCCAATGGGAATACGTACATAGAGAACCTAAGTGTTTATAAATTAATATGCCATGCTACTATAGCACTCAGGTGGCATCCACATAAAAACACTACACAGCTAATGACAAAAGCAAAGGGCAGGTCAATGATGCAGTCATAATGCATGCAAAGATGGTGTAAATAGATAACATTTACCAAAGAATATTCTAGCAATATCCAGTTACATAAAAAAAAATGACAGAGGCATACCTATTGAGAAACCATTGTGCTGAGCATGTTCTGATCCAATGTACCCTAAAATCAACTGTGATTCCCCTCACAAAACAAACCCACTACCTGACACTCAAATTCACCAAGGTTTCAAGGGGGTTAGGTCAACTATATTTGATGCCAGGCAATCCTGATGAGAAAGCCAAGAAGGAAACTCGGGTTTTCAAAGAGAAGACCTCAGTCCAAAAGCTGGCTCAGGCACTGGCTAAGTTTTACCCTCTGTGGTCTGCGACTTCACTGTGTGATAAGAGCAATACTTACCCACTCAGAAGAACTTACAACAAAACAGCTTGCACTATTTTCACCATGAAATACAGGTGTTTCATTATTGTCCTCTGGTCAGCCTTGGCAATGTAGGAACGGCGGGCAATCTAGACAAATGGAATCCAGTGCTGTTGTAGATGGAAGACACAAGGCTAGATCTGCAGAATGCTGCCATCCATGCTTTGCTCCATGTTTTTGAGACAGAGGCTCATGACGTAGCCCAGAGGGCTTCCAACTGCCAGGATGGAGTTAAGGCTCACATCATCTTTCTATGAGATTTTAATCCCAAGCACCTTGCCCTTTCTTTAGTGGTCTTCTTACATGGTAAATATGACGTTTCTGTTTTACATACACATGTGGGTACAGCTGAAACAGGATAACGTTTACTAAATAACTGAAGACACACTGTCTGACCTTTCTCATTCGATTTAATTGACAAATAAATACAGGGGAGTTTTTGTGAAACCACTGACAATATAACTAATTTTAAAGAATTTTTCCAACTTCATTGTACTTCTGTGAGTGGGAGTTACACATCATTCCCTAGCAAATGCTCATGGGTTTAAATTTATTATTTTCTCTAGTGCAGAAATGTGTAAACCATCCAGATTAAATGAAGAAAATGTATGGAAACTTTTCTTTTGCCCTCAGAGTTCAAAATAAAATTAGAACAACAGTTTTACATACAGAAGCATTTAAGTCCAAATCTAGAACTCCAGTCCTATGAGACACTGCAAAAGTACAGTGGCTCCTAAAGTAGGGTGGGCCAGCAAATGGAAGGTTGACCTCTGGACACCCAGCTATCCCCTCTGTTGTTACTATTTTACTTAGTCAAACACGCACATTGTTCCCACTGGAGAGACTTCAGGTATCAAACATGGGTGACGCATGCTGCATTATCTCCAACAACAAGAATCAGAAAATGACCACAAAGAAATAAAACCACCCTAAAGATGTAGTGCATAGTGGAACCTGGGGTCCAATAATAGTGTTTTGAGTTACATGAGACTGTTTCACAACATAGCACCTCATCAGGTATCTGGTAAACACTTCACAATCACAAAGGTGGGAGCCACATTCCAGGGAGAGTCTGTGATTAATGCTAAGGTACCACTGCAAGACAAGCCCTGGGCAACTGGACTAAGAACAGGGCCCAATGCCTCACATGCTCTAAGGGCACTGGAACAAAAAGAACCAGCAGGGGGGGCAACAAAGGAGCGAATCCTGCTTACGAATTGCTGCTCCATGTGCCCAAAGGAGGAGGGCTACTTCCAGTCCAGGAACACACCACTGCGCCCCCTTAGGAGCATGTGTTCTGCTCCTGCCTCAAGAGAGTCGGCCCAGAAAACACTACAAGGTCAAATGGTATGCTATAAAGTGTTGGTGTAAAAGCCAATGTACTGAAACCTAGGGAATTTGGTTCTTCATGTAAATGTATCAAAATTATCATGCACTGTGGAGTTCACAAGCTGTACTCTTGGCCCGAGGAATCACTCTTTTTGTGGCGAGGTGATGGAGTAGTCTTAGTTGGAGATGGGGATGCTGTACCAGGAGAGTCAGTCCCTCCATCAGAGGTACTTGGTGAGGATGCCAGATGGGGAACCTTCTTTCTTCCAAGGAATCCTCCTGCTTCAAATCCTTTCTTGCGCAACTCCACTTTATGCTCGTTCTCATCCTCCGACGACCTTTTCTTGGATTCCGAGAACCCGTCGGATGTTTTCTGCACTGCTAACCCACCATCTAACTCTTTCACACATCTCAGCTCTGTCCCAGGGGACTTCCTCTCAGACACGTTGCACTCGCCTGCTGCCCTTTTCACTTCAGCCTGTGCTGGACCCATGTGACCATTTTCTGGGACAGCTCTCTCTAGGCTTCTGTTGAGATTAAGAGTCTGGAAGTCCCTGTAGCTGTGGAAACTCTCAGTCCTCCTTGCTCTGGCTAACAAAGGGCTCTCTCGGTGAGGCCGCGTGGCACCGTAAGTGGCTGCCTCATGGATGATGTCATGGTGCTGGAGCTGGAGGCTGGAAGACAGAGTTAAAAATGACAGGGTATGATTTTACTTCAAGATCTAAGGATCGTATCATAAAGACACAGAAGGCATATTACTACCCACATCTCTATAAGAATGTATTTGTCAAGCAGCCCATATTACATACAATTACCAACGTAAGCAATGATATACACATACAGTCACAAGCAAGTATTTCAAATAGCAGGGAAAAAAGGAAAATAAAACTCTAAAACCAGTTGGCCCTTAGATTATCAGAATTTCAAAGTTTTTGTCAATATGGTTGAGAACAGGAAAGTATTTCATTAAGTACACAATACTGTAATATGAAATTAGACAAGATAACTTAACCACTTTTGATAGCATTGAACCTGAGCAATAAGAACAAAAACTCCACAAAGTAGCCAACTGATAGCAGTGACAGCTATTCTTGGTTGTCAACCTGACGCCATCTAGAATGAAATATAATCCAAAAACGGACGGCACACTTGTGATGCAGATCTTGAGGGGGAAGGCACACCTTTAATCTGAGCCACACCTTCTGCTGGAAGCCTGTATAAGGACAATGAAAGCAGGAAGTGCTCCCCTGCTTGCCCTCTCTATCAGCACATCCATTATCCATTCCTTCACGGCCACTGGAGCCTGCTTCTTTGGGATTCCAACACATACAGCAGACCAGCTGGGACACCCAGCCTTGTACTGAGCAACTACTGGATTCTTGGACTTTACAATCACAGCTAGCCATTGTTGGACTGCAGCCTGTCCAATAAATTCCCTTATATAGAGAGATCACATATCTATACACACACACACACACACACAGAGAGAGAGAGGGGGGGGGGAAGAGAGATTGTTCGGTGACTCTTGAGAATCCCAATACAATGAGCTCCTGATCACATAACAGCATTCCTATTCCATCTGCCAGTCATTTCCCACAGTGGTCAGAAGGGTAAATGTCCCCCATAGTCTCCGGCGTTTGTGATGCTGTTTGTGAAGGCTAAGGACATGTGGTCTTGCCGGGGGAAGTATGTCACTGGGGCCAGGCTTGGGGAATTTAAAGCCTTGCACCATTTTCAGTACATTCTCTCTAACTTGTGCTGTGAGCCCTCAGTCTCCTGCTGCAGCCACCATGGCTGCTGCCTGCTGCCATGCTTCCAAAGAAAGTTAAAGTTAAAAAGCAAAGGGGAGGTAAGGGTCAGGGTAAGTGGTAAAGAGCATGTTTGGCATGTATGAAGTCCAGGAGTTGATCACAGCACACACCACACAAAAAAGACCACAATATTTTTTTTTTCTTGCACTTCATACCATGTATGAAACTGTCAGAGAAGAAAGTCAATAAAAGTTTAAAATGTTTTCCTATGAAAATGTGCTATGCATACAAATAAAAATTTATTAATATTTGAACAATTCAGTATTAACGAATCTGACTTCAAACTGTACTTTGAAAATCATAGCTTTTACAACTGGATGCTCACAGCACCACCATCCCCCAGAAATCAAGTCCATTCAGGATGCACCGTCTACTCTCTGACCCACCTGGAGTTCGACTCTCGAAGACGGCTGTGCTGAAGCACAGACGTGGCGGGACTGATGTTGGGGGTAGCACATCGGGACGTGCTCAGGTCACACTGGTCTAACAGCTTGAGCAGCTCTTCCTCGGTGGGGCCGCCGGCGCCCTTGTCCTCACTCTTGCTGACCGTATCCATAGCCGTGGTCAGGTCCCACATTTGGATGCTACCGTTCGTGTGGCCTGTGAACAAGTAGCGCCTTGGCCGCGAGCCCATCCTGCTGGAACCCTCACACTCCCTCACAGTGAAAGACGATATAGTAGTGTAGTCAACAGCCTGGATCTCACATATCCTGCAAAGACCAAAGGAATCAATTACACATATTGTAGAACTGAGACCTTTCAGTAAGTTTATTTTCAAAGTCACACAAATGAACATGTATCTAAAACAGTTTTAAAATGGTCAAACAGAGTTGACAGAAAATCAAGTCTTGTTTATCTGAATTGAGAAAAACCTCGTACATTAGCGTGTCCTCAACTGAAAGAACGAGATATGATTCAGTCACAAAAGCCATCTTGGGAATGAGGAAGTCTTCAGAAAAAAAAAAGTGAGAAAACAAAGGAAAAGAAAAGGGGGAGGGAGGAGGAATGAAAATAAAACATACTGATGTTGAAAAAGAAAACCACTAAGTTTATATACAAACTTTTACAACGTACACCTACAAAAGCAAGAGGACAAGACCTTCGACACCCACGCTGCTGGGGTGCAGACGAAGCCCAGTGGGCATGGCCAAAGGAGCAGCCAGTCCCATCGGCCACACAGGCTAGAGTGGTCCAGCTGGGGTAAACATAACTATTCCCCCACATGTAAGGTCTTCTATGACTACCTATAAAAGACATTTGCAGATTAGGGGACTTCTTCATTTCAACTGGTGGAACTTTGAAAAAGCTTTATTTTACAGTTATGCGTGAGTGGCTGTGTACATGTCTGGTTCCCCAGGAGGGCAGAAAAGGAACTCCCTGCAACAAATGATACATACAGATGGCTGAGCTGCCCACCAGGGACACTGGAAACTGGGCCTGGCTCTCTGCAAAGGCAGCGCCATTTCCTGTACTCAGACCCAGCACTTTAAGAACTTAAGATAAATGCAGATTCATCAACTTTTATTATCAGGGTAATTTTTTCCATTAGTATTCATGTGATGATTGATGTTTGCTTATATTTGTAAAGTGACTAAATTTAAAAAAAAAAGTTTGTGGTGTATTTTTAAAATTAAAAAAAAAAAATCAATGTTACTGTATGCACAAGAACAAATATGGTTTTGCTATAGTCTCCTGTCATGGGACAGAGCCTTTATTTCTATAGATTGCTTCTGACCTATTCACTTTCTACTCCTCTCTCCACTTCTGTCTCCAGTGTCCCGAACTATCAGTGAACTTCCTGTTCACAAAGGACCAACTCAATTCTATGAAGCAACTTCCGCTTGTTCTGTTAATATAGTTTCCCTCTAGATCAAACTCATTTCTTTTACCCCCCCCCCTCCACTTTTGTTTTTGGTGTTTTGAGAAAGGGTTTCTCTACATAACACCCTTAGTTATCCTGGAACTCACTTTGTAGACCAGGCTGGCCTTGAACTCACATAGATCCGCCTGCCTCTGCTTCCCAAGTGCTGGGATTAAAAGCATGTACCACCACTGCCTGGCCTGAATTCATTTCCTAAGAACACACACAATCTGTGGGATGGGGTTTAGGCACATTAGTCATTTTCTAGAATTCAGTCATTAATTACTAACAATTACATGCAATCTACAACTACATGCAATCTTGATGAAAATAAAACCCTCCCAATCTCAGAGTTTATTCAGGAAAATGCCATGTAGCAGAGACACACCAGAGAGAGGCAAGCAGGAACTTCAGAAACATCAGCAACACGGGCTACACTGTAAAGGAAGCCCTGACTGTCAACGACTACTAGGAATTTCACCTGCTCACTTGTCTGGCAGGCAGAAAAAACAAACAGCAAAACCAGGGACAATCACTTTCAAAGTGAAACAGAGTGACAGAAAAGCTCATTTCTACAATGTCCACTGAGTCAGCGACTGCAAGGACTTCTGTTCCTGTCTTTGACACTTTAGTATAAGGCACACTCTGCAGACAATGGAACCTTAATCAGTCAGGCAACCAATGAGGTCATGTAAGCTGAATTTACATAGCTAATCAAGGGCAGTATCAAACTTAGTACACATCTGTCTGCCATGAAACCCACTGTGATCACCATTGAAATTAGACAAAAAGTCATCTCCAAAGACAAAGGCAGAAAAGGAAGTCCCAACAGTGCTCAGAACCAGAGTGGTGGTCCTGCCATATAAGTACATTCCACAGAGAGCGAGGACAGATGTGAACTGAGACTGCTAATCAGGAGCTATGGCAGTCATACAGGTCACATGATCATCAGCCATGGATGACCTTACTCTTGTTCTGGGTAGAGATGGTCAGGAACCCTGTGATGTCCCATCTGAGAGACAATGTATATGATGTTTGTGCATGATGGGAAATGCTTGCACTCAAAGGTTTCTCTGCTTTGTTTTGTTCTTTCTATGGTGCTCTCGGTCTGTGAGGATTCTAGGTGAGTTTTACCTTCCTAGTAGTTAACTAGCATAGAACTTCTGTCCCAGTGAGTTACTAGTGCATTCTTTAGCTCTAACAAACTGCACCTGTATGCTGGGAGACAAAGGCAACTTCTGAATGTACATGTCCTTCTGTGAAGTGTTACCTTTTCCCAGTTGATGACAGCCTAACAAACAGCTTGTTAGTGATGGGAACAACTTTCTGGATAAACACTTGTTGATCATCTCGTTCTCCAAAAGGCCCTGTGTCAAAAAACAGAAAGTCAGATAGGAATGAGAAATGGTTGTATTTATAAAAGCACATTAGTACTCCTCCCGCAAAATAACTGTCATGCCTATAGTAGCACAAGCCCTAAATACTTAAATACCACACACAAGCAAAATAGCAAAAGTATGTCAGTCCGCATTAAATTTTACAATAGAAATACACTATTTGTTTTTAAAAAGTATTTCTTTCTGTGTGGGTTTGAGTGAATTTGTGAGTGTGTGTGCCTGTGTATATCTGAGTGTGTCAGTGTGTATATGTGTTTGTGTGTTAGTGTGCCTCATGTGGGTTTAAGCCCACAGAGGCCAGAAGAGGGCATTGGATCCCAAGGAGCTGCCCTGTGTGCACACTGAGAACTGAACTCATGTCTTCTGGAAGAGTAGGGAGTCCTCTCAACTGTTAAGCCATCTCTTCAGTCCCATAACACTTCACAACTGTACTTTATGCATTAAAGATTTATAAGCTGAGGGAAATCGCTCCTCAAGGATCTGCAGTATCACTCCCAGAAGGTCCCTTTGAGAATATGCTTAGATCTGACAACTTAGAAGAAGGCTTGGGAGTATGGACTCGATCCCTAGCTCCAAAAGAGGCAAATGGAGATATAAACTAAGTCACTTCATATAATCCCTACTAATTGTTTGAACACCTGCATGCAAAACTTTAACAACTTCTGCAGATTAACTTCAATGAACAGAATGTAATGGGGCTGGTGAGATGTCTCAGCAGTTAAAGACACTTGTCACCAAGCTTGACGAACTGAGTGTGACTTCTAGCACCCACACAGACAGCAGGACAGAATTGACCCCAGTACCTTATTCTCTGACCTGAACTTGTGCACTCTGGCAAGAGTGAGCAAAAGCACACACATATGCACATGCAAAATGTAACAAAATATGAAAAACATTTAAGTAGTCAGAAGCCTCCATCAACCACACTGCTCCTTCAATGTCTCTATTTTCTTAAGACACAAAGTAAAAAGAAGTAACTTCATCATGCTAGGGGTGTGAGGGGCATTGGCATACTACCCATCATGTCATGGCATTCAGAGAAAACCACCAGCAGCTGCCACTGAACAATGAGGCTTGCCCTGGCAGCACACCCTTCACCAATTCTTGGGTTTGGAGTGTTTTGACTTTTGTATTTTCATGAGATACCCTGAGGACAGGACATCAGTCTGAACAAAGATCTAATGAAGGGAACCAAGTTTCACAGAGCAGAATTTTCCACTTTTCACACTGAACTGTCGGGAGTGGTCTTTGTGGGGCTGCAATAGGAACCAGCTGAGCAGTTCATACCAGAGTAGGGGAGTGTGGATGAAGGAAATAAGTTTGTACCTGAGTGGAGGTGTGTGGATGAGGGAGGGAAAGGCTAGCAATAGAAGATAAAGAAAAGACAGAGACAGAATAGAAGTCAGGAGGGCAGATTAGTCAATACTGAAATGCCAAGGGAGTTTATTTTTCACCACTCTTACATACCTTATCTAAAAAGGGGAACACAGTATCATGTACATAGAACAGACAGACTTTTCTTCCTCACTTAGTAACTGCACCTTAGCTTCAACTTCTTCCGTAGCCTTAGGTCAGGAGTAGCCACACCTCAGATTCAGGTCTGTTGCTATTTAGAATAAGATAGCCAAACATCCTACTGTAGCCACACCTTTGACCTTTAGGTCTTATGACTTGATGAGGAAAGTTTTGAACTCTGTCCTTGTGCCAAGATAAGAGTGCAGCCATCTTTATGGGCACTCACACTGAACTATGGACACTCAGCTTATTCAGAGCTGCACTCAGAGATTTCAATATAAAAATGAGACTTTGGCTGGAGAGAAGCTCAGAAGTTAACAGCACTGGCTGCTCTTGTAGAAGACCTGTGTTCAGTCCTCAGTGCACACATGGTGGCTCCACAACCTATGTGACCTTTGTTCCGGGAGATCAGCTGCCCTCTTCTGTCATGTTGGATGACATACATACATGTAGGCAAACATTCATATAAAATTAAAAAAAAAAATATCCTTTAAATAAAATAAAAAATAAATAAAAAAATAAAAACTCAGTTATTTTCCCCTCTATTATACTGGCCAAGGCAGGGAGGACTGAGAGCCAAGCTATAAGAAACTCGTATTTTGAAACACTGGGGGTTCAATAATTCTTCTTTATTGCACTCATTAGGAGAAGCTTTTACATAAAAGGTATGCGGCACACAACACGCTCCACACAACAAGCTCTCTGTTGTTGCTGACATGCTGGGGAAGCACACTGAACCAAGTTACATCCTCAGCCTTCAACTCACACGCATGGGCACACCTACTCACAAAAGAGCAGTGGCATCTTAATCGCTAGCGTCCTAGGTGCTACATAAGCACCATCATCGTCCCCATTTTACAGATGACTCATACACTCACTGATCATCCCCATTTTAGAGATGATGGGTGCATACATTAATTGTGCAGTTATTACACAAAATCGGTGCGCACACTGAGAATCAGGCTAACCACACCCTTCTTGCTGGGACCAGAGTACAGCAATGTGCACGTGCTGGCCAAACAACTCCAATTCCATAACAACACTGGCTCTCTTCCCAACTTAAAATTTTATTCTCAATAATTGTTAAAAACAAAAGAAAAAAATGTAAAGTTTCAATTATGCACAGCAATCAATCCCAGCTGTAATTAAAAACAAAACTACCTGGTTAGCATTTGGAAAGAACAACATTTAGGGGAAAAAATGCTAGAAAAATGTTTATCTTAACTTTTTAAATACCAAAAAAAAATGTTTAAATGATGTAATTTTGTGAATTCACAGAAAAGAATATAAAAAATCAGAGTTGGGAAGATGGCTGCATCAGTGAGGCACACAGACCTGAGCTCAAGTCCTAGAGTACACAGCAATGAAACCAGGCCAGTGCTATGTGTGTGAAATCCCCACGCTGGAGAGGCAGAGACAGGCAGACCCTTGGAGCTCATTGGTCAGCTAGTCTAAACTACCTGGTGAGTGCCAGGCCAGTAGAGACCGTGTCAACAGCATTCTGAGGTCGTCCTACAGCCTACACCCAAACTCACACAAACTTACCCCATTCTGAGGTCACCTTATAGCCTACACCTACACACACCCCTAGACACACACATACATAGCATTTATATTTTAATTACATTAAAATGTGAAATCCCCATGATGTCCCAGTCCTGGATCTCCCTCTTTGAAGATGCCTACCTATGTCATTTCCAGAGGAATAGCTGCCATGGCTTTCTGTCTCCTCCAAGGACAGGATCTTGAATGATGCTAATGGGGTGGAGCCTGGCTGAGTGGAGATCATCCCTCTGAACCGTGTCACTGTCCAAGTGCGGACATGGTTGTTGTCGGCACACACTAGGAAAGAACACAGGGTGTCACCACGCCACTCTGAAGCACTTCAGCCTCTTCTACATTAAGCAGATCACGGTACATTCTAAAAGGCAGATGGCGCATTTATCCTAAAACTGAACTCAATTGCGTCTGTTAACCAGATTGAGAGAACTGGGGTTGGGAAGATGACTTGGCCAGTAGATAGACACCTGCCACCAAGCCTGATGGCCCAAATTCCCTTTAACCCACATGGTCAAAGGTGAGAACTGACTCCTGCAAGGTAACCTCTGACCTGCGTACATGTGATGTGGTATGTGCAAAAACACACACACACATGCACACAAGAGAAGATGTACAGATTAAGATACACGGGACAAGGATAAATATGGGTTATATATTTTATCCTGGGAGAAGTCACTAACACGAGAAACCAATGACCCAAAAGTTCCTGCTCCAAGGATCCACACCCAGGCTGCTCTCCATGACTCGGCTGGAACCAAGAGGGCAAGGCTGTCCTGGACCCCAGACCAAATGACACACGCTCACCTACACACCTGTGACCATGCTCAATCAGGCGTGATCAGAGCCACAGGTGCGGTTTAGGTGGATCTCTCACTACACACAAGACCAATAAATAAATCTAACAGCAATAATAATGCTTTGAAGTGAGAAAACCAAGTGATTCTCTTGTTGCAACATGAAAGCACTGAAGTAAGCCCAGGAGTCCCTTTAAAGCAGCAGGAGCCAGGTGTGGAGGACTGAGTAGCACCAGCCCAGTCTGGGACACACAGTAAATGCAGACAGGCCAGCAAGACCTTGTTTGAAACAAACAATAAGACCAAGACAAAAGCTGGTGAGACACAAATGTAGAAAAGATTTTAAATTAGAGAGAAGTGTTTTATGTCACCCAGACACTAACCAGCCTAAGCCAGGAGTGGCTGAAAAGTGGTGACGAGAATTTTTCAAATATCTTAGGAGCCAGTTGTTTATCATTCATTCACAGTCACATTAGTCTATACTAGAGCTGGGCATGGCTTCTATTTAAAAGTATGCATTAATAAACATCCCAATTAGGCTTCAAAATCTTTTAATTAAACATTATTATTATTATTATTATTATTTACATTTGTTGGGGGATAGTTATGAGACAGTGCCTTTCTATGTAGCCCTGGCTGTTCTGGAACTCACCATGCAGACCAGGGTAGCCTAGAACTTAACAAACATCCGACTACATCTACCTCCCAAGTTCTGGGATTAAAAGAATGTGCCACAACCTCTGGCTAAACTTTTTAATGTGAATGTCATGTCATGTGTGTCTACCGTTAGAGAATAGGAGAGGGTGTCAGGTCCCCTGGAGTTGGAGTTACAGGCACTTATGAGCTACCTGATACAGGTGCTGGGAGCAAACCCGGGCCTCTGGAAGAGCACAGCATTCCTAAGTACGGAGGCCTCTCCACGGCCCCAGGGTACATGTAATTTCTGACTAGGAATATATGTGGGGAGTCATTTCCTAACCTCTCTCCACATCCTTGTTCTAAGTGGGCATGCTTATTACAAAGATATATCCCAAAACACGAAAGCATCCAGGTAGTAAGTGCACTTTTCAGCTTGGTTTAACAAGGAAACAAAACCCTAACTTGCCATTTATAATGGTTTTAGAGAACATCTGTAGATGCTGGAATATAGTGCTTGTTCCATCAGTTTTGGGGTTTAAAGAAAACTTGAGAAAGCACTCTGGGAATACTAGCACTAACCTCTCTGCACATGTCAGTCCTAAGGAAACCCTCCGTTCCTTGAGCCCATAGGGAAGCGCCAGAGGCACAGTAAGGTGTGTACCAGTCTCATGGGAAATGGCCCTGATTTCACCATGCTTATTGAGACAAATAACTGTAGTGATCCTGGATGATTCAAGTGTCCCGTGTCAGAACCTTGCTCCTACACCAGCCTGTGAAGCCTCATGTCAGACACTAGTGAACTATAGAAGCACACAATGCATTTATGCCAGTAGCCACCAGGGGGCAGACAGGCTAAGAACACAGAACACTCCAGACTTGTGCTTAAACTGGGCGTTTTTCTTGACAAACTTTACTTATCCAGGTCTACATGTAACACCCTACACTAACACAGCCACCAACGTCAGTCATGAGGACTCAAAGCACTGAGGTTTAACCAGCATGGTACAGCTAAGAGCTTAAAGTGTCCCAAGATCATACTGTATACAGCATTTCCAGCTTCTTTGTGCAAAGAGCCAGAGGAGACAGAACAGAACTATTGCAGCTGTAGAGGAGACCGATGATAGGCAAACAAGTAACGGTAAGCCTGTGAAGAACACACAGAAGACTCTGGCAGACAAGGTTAGTTTTACAGACTGGGAGAAGTTACTGAGGAAGTGTGAGAGTCTGAAGGATGGTACAACCAAACAAGTACATGGAAACCTAAACATGTCAAACAAAATGAATAAGAGCAAAAAAGTCTAAGGCATTTTTACAAAACAGAAAAGCCAATAGCTTAAGAATCTCATGATCCAAAGAAAGTAGGTTGGCACTAGGACAAAATGTACAATGTAAACAAATCTACAATACAAGCTACACAGGACATTTGAAGTTCAGCTGCATTTTAAATAGACTAGGAAGGCCAGTGGGACTCAGATGTAGATTTTGTTGCTATAGGGCCTGAGATAGCTGCCCAGCACCTGCAAGTAACCCAGGAGAAAAATGACTTGAGTCACTAAGGTGAGTCAATGAGAGAGACCAATTCTGTGATACACATGGCAGCAAGAACCACTTACTGCTGGATTGCGTGCACGCAGGCTAAAAGCAAGGGGGAGCCTAGGAGAACCCCTAAATTCTGAGTTTAAGAACGGAGACAATGAGACTGTACATTATCGTGGTTTCTTAGTTCTCTTTCCAGGTTTCATTTGGGATGCCTGTTGAACATAATACATGAGACACAGAAACAGGACGGGGGGGGGGGGGTTACCAAGTCTCTAGGTGGTGACGGGAAACGACAGCATGTATGGCACCGACAGTCAGATCACCCGGGAACATGCAAAGAACAGAGGCTAGGAAAGAAAGCACTCCCAGACCGACAAGGACCCATTAACACAAGTGAGAGAAGGGTTGGATGGTGTCGGGTGAGCACTGCTTCCTAAGAGCACACAGGGACTAAAGGCCTCTGTGGGCCATGGAGGTGCAAGAAAGAGGTATAGGTATCCACTCGCTGGGGGGGATAGTTCTGCCCAGCACTCAGGGAGGACAGTGAGGGACACAAAATCTCTTAGAACTGTTCAGCTAAACAAAGCCAACATATGAAAACGATTCCTCCACAGAGGGCAGGCCCCCAAGAACAAGGCTACAGACAACTCACAGCTGAAATTTCACCAAATCTGGAGATCACCCAGGAATTCCTTGTATGAATTTCTTCAATGGAATTTTAAGCTATAAAATTTGAATGTAATATTTTATTTACTTCATTATCTACATATTTAAAATTGTGATTATGGGGAATATAAACCCACAAAATGTTACTTTAAATAATTTTATATATCATTATTAATTTTTAACATCTTTCAAGGTAATCAACTATCAAATTATACATCTAAGTCTACAACTTCAGTTTATAACTAAAGATAACCTAATGAAATTATACTGACATTCAAACTTAGGAAATTTTGAACCGCAGTGATTTGATATGCATCTTGAGGTGAAATTTGCCTTAAGGAAGACATATCAGAAAATAAGCAAAGATATGACATTTGCTAAGTTTACATGCAGTGCCTGCAGGCCAAGTCAAGCCACACCCTTCCAGTTACAAAGGCCCAGCAGAAACCACTCCTCTCCCTCTGTCTACACATAAGAAAGCAGACTGCAGGAGGCATCCCAGGAGTCCTACAGTACCTGACACCAGGTGCTTCTCGGACAGCATGATCTTTGTAACCGGGCTTCGGTGGACTGTGAAGGTCTGGAAGAGCTGCGGCCCTGATCCGACTGTCTCTGGGTGCTGCACAATCACTCGCACGGCTCCAGAGCTCGTACCGTAGGCAATCTCGATCCAGTTTCCGCTGACACCTAGGAGCCACAGAGCAAAGGCAGTGTGGGACAAAGGGGTTACAGACAGTTGTGCTTGGGAACCTCCCTGTGGTGACACAGGCAGAGCAGGAGGGAGTCAGAGAGGTGTCTGCATACCTCTGCGCCTTACTGACAGAAAGGGAATCAGCTTTCAGAATGCCCGAGGTACAGTACTAACTCAGTACCGATTTAAAATATTAATAACCCTGCTGTGCCAGGCCCGCTAGTGGAACCAAACCCCCATGGCAGCCTTTCGTGAGACTTAGAGCTCAGGGCTTTTTATTGCTGCTACAGTACACAGCCATCCTTGAGCAACCAAGTGTCACCTACATGAACAGTTTCAAACACCACTGAGTGGACAGGCACACCACCAGCCATGCTCAAACACCGACAGCCATGATGTGCCCTCCAATTCAGCTGCCCTGGCTGTCTCTTTCCTTCCTATTTTAAAAGGCTTGTTTTTATTTTATGTGTATGGCTGCTTCACCTGCATGCATATCTGTGCCACCAGTGACATGCTGGTACCCCTGGAGCCACAAGAGGGTGCTAGCTCTCCAGGAACCAGAGTTAGAGACAGGTGATCTGCCTGCCATCTTAGTTCTAGGGGCAAAACCTCAGTCCTCTGGAAGAGCAGCAAATGCTGAGGCTAAGTCATCGTTCCTACCCTGGTAGTTTTTCTTTTCTTAAACAGGTACCCACATCCCACCACAAATCAAAAGACACAGGCACTTGCTGGCCTGCATTCCAACAAGCTTCATGGGTGGAGAACTGTGGGCTTTACTTTCAACCACCTGAAAACCCCACCATCAAAGGGAGAGTTCAGAATAGAACAGGACACTCCAGCCCATCAGATGCTCTTCTCATGCTGCCTAAGCTTGTCCACAGGAGGAGGGACTTTGATTTCTAGAACTTTCCAAGTTTGACCTCTTACTGTGTATTAGACTGGGGTGAGAATCCATACTTCATTCTACTCATCCTAGAGAATAGTTCAGCAAGCTTTCTCTAAAGGGACAGGCAGTAATTAAGTGTTTTAATTCTGCTTTCCACACTGTAAGTCACAACCTCCCAGCTCTATCAGTGAAAGCGGTCAAGGGCAGTGCATAGAACTACTGAAAAAACAAAGCGGGAGGAAGAGAGGGAGGGGGGAGGAAGAGGGAGGAGGGAGGGAGGGAGGGAAAGGACAGGGCTACCATGAGTACCAACCCGCGGTTTTGCTGTCCCCAGTGTAAAAGAGTATGATTTAAACTAAGTCTCCAGCCATTTCAGCCACCTATCATTCTTTAATGCTGATGACTGTCTTATCCAATGAATTCAGTAAAATTGTGCTGTGCACAAGCATCACATTCAAGCATGGCCCGTCCCCGGGCACACGTTAACATGTCAGTATTTCTCAGCACTCCTTCATTAAGAGGCATCTTCTAGAACAGTAAACTCATAAAGACCCCCCGAGGCTGGCCATGTACTGACTTGTTTTGGGGGTGAGGTAAACACTCAGTGCAGTGATGGCATCATTCGAGGGGTCGTGATAGAGTTCAGTGACAAGGAGGTCATTATCTTTCATCCGTAATGGGAACTTCTGCATGTCTGAAGACAAGAACACATGTAGTCAGAACCACAGAGGACCAGGTCTCTGTACCTTATGTATAAAGCATGCTCCACGCTCACCTATGTAATATATCGATCCATTGTTGCATCCCAGGAGAAGGAAGGAGCCCGCAGTGTCGTAACTGGTTATTGGAACAACATCCTGCACCTGAAGCAGTGAGAGTATTACACATTAGTATCTGCCCTTTTCTTTATTTAAAAATTTATTTTTCATTTTAGAAACCAACCCCAGTTGCCTCTCCTTCCCACCCCCATCCACTCCTCAAAGGGATGTTGACTCCTTGGGGAGTCAACAAAGTCTGATGTATCAAGCTGAGGCAGGACCAAGCCCCTCCACCTGCATCAAGGCTGAGCAAGACATCCCACCACAGGGAAGGGCTCCAAAAGGCCAGTTCATGCCACTGGGAGAGGTGCTGGAGCCACTTTTCTAGTTTCTGTTCCAATTTCCTTGAAACACTTGATTCTTTGGATATTGAGAAAGACTTAGACAACAAGCTGTCTGGAAGCCGCAGTGGATAGGAAAGTGCCCAGACGGCTCTGAAGACACGCGTTTTAGCTCCATCCCACACACAGCAGCCTGTGCTCTCCCAAGCCAGCTGCATCACTTCCTCCTGCTGCGTGTGGATCACTGTGCCACAGCCGCAGAAAATGGAGGCCAAGGCAAGCCTCACCCTTTCCTCTCATCTCCCTCAGACAAAATGGAGCGCTGAAGCCACACAGTATGTAATCAGAGCTGGAGACCAGCACAGGTAACACTGACAGAGTGCAGTACTAGACGACAACCTGTTACAGTCTCTTCAAGTAGACAGTGTCCTGTCTTTACTGTCCCTACTGAGGAGTCTTCCCGGCAGACTTGCTTTCCAGGCACTACACCTAAAGAGCACCTCTTCAAAGCCATCTGTCTGCTTTGCAAACAAGTAACTAAATCTAAAGGACAGAAGTCACCACAAACAGTAAGACCAGAAAACAAAATGCCATGGCAGCAGCAGGAAACAGGCTAAACATGTATCGCAGGCCAGATAGTGTGGCTTGGCATTGTGGGGTCACGAGGTCTTGAGTTCAGAAGGCCAGGACAGACACCCAACAATGAACTCCACACTGAGGATCCAGCACTTGCTGTTTTCTAGCAAGGGGAAAATCTATGGTGTCCTCTGTGCATACACTGTAGGTGTGTGCTACAGCCCATCTAAGGAAGCATGTACTCCAACAGCAAAGGAAACCTACAAGATAATTCTGGTGTCAGGCAGGGAGGCAAGGTGTATAGTATAACCATAGGGGAGGGAAACGGGTGGCATAGGTCAGGAGAGGAACCAGAGAGCAGAAGGACTCCAGGAATCCACATCAAGAGAAGCGTCTTTCAGAACGAGCAGAGCAGGCAGAGCCCATGTCCGCTCTAGCCATGGAGCAGGCACCTGGAAGGAACAGCTCCTCTAAGCACTGGCACACAGAACCCTCTGCTCTGCATGATCTTTTCAGTTCTAGTCACAAGCTGCACCTAGGAAGCCTTACAGACAACTCTAGCATCTCACCTCAACCCTGGGCCAGGCCTCTCAGGGAACATAGAGCATCTCACACAGCCTGTCACTCACTACCTGTGCTTCCCAAAGTAAAGCTGTCAGAGTAAAGGCGGCTTTGTTTCCTCACGACAATGTCCTGGCCCCAGCTGGATGCATCTCTAGCTGTAGCACTAGACCTTCCTACCTACACCAGGGTCTCTACAGCTGGAGGCAGGCGAATCAGCCCCGGACTCTGAGCCCCTCGGAGCCACTCTTTGCTCAGATTGGTAGAGCCTGGAGCTTCCAAGGCTCACCTCAGGTAAATGCTGCCAGGTGCTCTGCAGGAAGACGGCCTCCCCCTCCTCCCTCCCTCAGCCCTCTGTCCTCGACTCCCCAGGTCCAGCAACTCTATTAGGAGTTTACTCTGGATCCTTGCTTGGGGTCAGTGTCTCGTCCTCAAGCTCCATCAACCTCCACTGTTGAGTCATCACTGAAGCCACTGTAACTGTGAGTTCCCACCCCTTAAAATAAGCACATGAAACACTCTCCATCTTTTAAGAGGCTAACTATATATACCCCACAGTTGCTTTCCAGCACAAACATACACAGGATTCTCTGTGTTCTGATATGAGCATAAAACCTGTAATCAATCTTTGTTTAAATCTAAGTTTAAACTCCAAGAATTTGGGAGTAATGCCTACACGGTGCTATTTTCTGCTGTGGTACTTAGGCTGAGCCACCTATTTGTCAACACTAATGAACATTTATTACTAACCCTTTGTGACATCATGCTGTATGTGTGTGCCATGCTGCAGAAGGGAGAGATTAAATTAACAGGGAATGAGGGTTAAAGCCTCATTCTCAGCTCAACTAGAATGGTTTTTAGAACACTTCATCAGCATTTTATTAAGGCAGAGTTGAGATGCTGATAGAAAACTATGAAGTTTAGAATGCTTTCTAAGGTTAAATGCAGATGCAGGGTTTTGTGATTAATACTTCAAATCCATCCTGATTAAAATCACATTAAAAGCAAAGAACTCAGGGATTGCCATGTGCACTTCCTCTGCTATTTGTGGCCAGAATGTTGCTCGAGGCCACCTAAGAACCTCGTCAACTAGTGCTGGCAGTACTGGGAGCTAGCCTACAGTCAGAGCTGTCTATTAACATCTGCAGACGGGAGGCTGAGACCACACAACAGACAATCTCTGGAGACCCATTAGGGGAAATCTAGCTGGGTGAGAAAGCTTGTCGGCTATGGGGATGACAACTTTCCCAGGGTCTTTCTGAAATGTGCAACAAATCCTTATTGTGGTTTTCAGCCACGCATGCACCAGGCATGAAGAATCGGGTGATATAGAAAAAACACCCAAGGCCAAGACTGGAAAGACGTGACCAGCTAGAGTCTGGATCTCAGAGCTACGAAAACCTTTATGCATAGTCCTAACAACAGTGAGAGGCCAGAAGACAGTAAGGGAGTGCTCCTTCCAGGGTCACAGGACAAGGCTTCCATGGGTGGGCCGGGCCATGTGTCACTGTTGTAACACAGCTGGGAAAGCACAGCTCCCACACCTCACAGTCTTCTCCTGGGGCACCAGCAGCAGAAGAGCCCTGACAGCTCCCCATCTCCAAGACTCACCCATGTCAGTGCTCTCCATGTCTGTAGTCTGTCACTCACACTGACTACCACTGCAACGTCCTTGCTCCATTTATTATCCCTTCTATGCAACCTGGCCTTTGCATCTGCGCTGAAATTCAAACCATTTCCACAGACCAAGTTTCCCCTTAACTGAGACTCATCTGGTGTCACCAGTTCCTCAGTCCTAAGATCTCAGGATGTTCCTCGAGAACCTCCTGTCAATCATGCCCCATCGCTCCCCAGCCTGTCACCTTTAAAGCTACCCTTCCCCTCTGCTGAGTATCTCATCACCTGGCTCAGCTTACTTGTACACTGCTTTCTATTCCTGACGCCTGCACGCCCACACAGACGGCTAGGGCTCACTCTCATCACTATATATGCTGGGTTCATTCCAAGACCTACACCATACCAAGACCTTGGATGCACAAGTACTACAAGACATGGTATTTGCAGGTCATTTCCACTCGCTTCATCCTCCCTCGACTCCCAAGCACTTTCTAGTATGAATGCTATTCAATTAGCTGGGGTCTGTATTGTTTACAGACAATAATCAGGGAAATGTCAATTCTGTTTTGGAATGCTCTCAATCCATCTGGCTGAACCTATGGATCAAAATCCAGGGATGTAAAAAGCTGGCTGCATTTTCAAGTCAACTCAACAAGAAACTAAATAGGCCGCCATGTGAGGATGTTCCAAGTCCTTTCCTTTCAAGCTATCAATCCGATTATGCTCCCTCCAGTCCCCAGCATCCCTATACCTCCTCTCCTCTCCTCTCCTTGCATCCCTATACCTCCTCTCCTCTCCTCCCCTCCCCTCCCCACCCAGAACTCCCTAGTTACCTTGGTTTCACCAACCTTGCCATTGTTCTACTTTCTCAGCCCTTGGTAGGCTGCATTCACCTAAAGGAAACACCCTCCACCTTGTTCCTGTCCCAGTTCTCAGTGCTAATGACCACCAGGCTGCTATGATAGGATCTGTCCCTCCTCTAGCTGTGCTCTACATCCCACAACCCCTCTCTTCTAGGAAAAGCAAAGGCAAAGAAGGGTCAGGTAAGGCAAGGAAAGACAAGTAAAAATGCAAAGCAAGAGAAGGGAAGGGAAGGGAAAAGGCAAGGGAAGGTATGGTAAGGTAAGATAAGGGAAGTCTTCCTGTGTCCAGTGCTTCCTCTGCCTCTGCCCTCCACACCTACAATATGTGCAAGCTTCTCTCAGGCTAGGAGAAACAAAACAAAAAGTGTGGTCTTTTAGGTGTAGTTAGCTTACAAAGAGACCAAAAACAAACCAACCAACCAACCCTGAAAACCTTTGACCTTCACAGTATCACTTCTGGAGTTTTAATTTCCCCTTGTTTCCACAATCAACTGTCAGGAATTTTTCAGTTTGCCTCATTCTCCTTAACCCTGGAGGTGGTCCGAGACAGCCGATCTATGTATGTCCAGGCTCAGCTGAGATTTCCCGCAATAAATGGTTTGCCCTGACTCCCGCACACACAGCACAGCTTGAGAAGTGGATATCACTATATAAAGAAAACAAGCTGCCTTTAAAACAGTAAAGTTTCTATGTAGAAACAAGTGTCCCATGGAATGTACTCACCGTTGGTGGGAATTCTACTAGGGCCCAATCAGCATGAAACTGTGTTCACTTCTATAATGAGCATTAATTCAGACTAACCTGCCAATGCTGAGTGACAGCATTCCAAACTCCCACTTTCCCTGTGTGACTCGTGGCCACCAACTGGTTCCCAATAAAGAAGAGGGCATCTACAGGAACACCAAGACTGAACACACCTTTAAAAGGCAAAAGCAGAGACATTAATCAGGCTCTATTTTTATACCAGTTACAACCTAGACTGAAACCATCTCCACAGTTACAATGATTTAAGTCTACAGATTGTGTTCTATGCTCAATAGGGACCAGAAATAAGACAGAACCTCTAAGTTCTTAAGCCTTTCCAAACTCCTGAAGCAGAGGAGACTCCCCATAGCTATGTTGTCTCACGATGGGGTCCTCAATCCTTTACAAGTAGGAGTAGAAAGGACTTTGGGATTACACAAGACCTGGTAAAATCTGCTGGAAATTCAAAAGGTAGGCTGACATGGACTAGATGTTGGGGTCACAGACTAAAGACAAACACTTGGCAACCCAACTATCCTGAAGGTGTCTAAAAATGCAGAAAGAAGCACATGGAAGACCGAAAAAGTCAGGATGCAGTCAACACAAGCATTTGAGCCTTTAATTACAGCTTGTTTTAGCCCACTTTCCCAGCATTTACACTTCACTCAAAATGACTGAAAAGGAACTGTGTAAAGCAGAGGTTTTCTAAAAGAAGAAAAAACACAAGGAACTGATTTTCACAGGACCTACATACAGTTCAGTAGAGGAAAGTACATTAGGTCTAATACAGCAGAAGGATGTGCAGGGACACCAACATTGGGAGGACAAAGGAGAGCGGTGAGGAACAAGTCATGCAAGCTGGGGTTTTCAATGTCTACAGTGTCATCAAGCTGGAGATACAGTTAAAACTGTAAGAAAAGGACAGTGTGGCCTAAGGGACATCCACACTAAGGCAAGAGTTAGACTTCCAGGCTCCTCTCAGGTGGCACATGAGGCCTAGGTGCTGGCCTGTCTCCAGCAGTATCTGGAGAGGAAGCCTGGCTCTGATGAGTTATCATCGCTGTACTTCCTGTTCTTCCTGTACCATCTATGAAAAGTTCAAGCCAAATGTCTGTCATCACTGTAAAAATGGTGTGCTCAAACTCAGACACAAAAATTGTGCAATTAAACATCTTATTTGAGAAACACCTTCTGGGAAATGTCTTTGAATCCAATAATTGGGGAAACTGAGTCCAATCTATAAACTCTGTTTTATGTGGACCATTACTGAAGCTTTTTCAAAGTACCTGTGTGCCAATGTGAAGAATTTTTTTTCTCCAGTATTAGCTCCCAAAACAAAGACTCATGGGACCCTTAAAGAACTTGGGGGGGGGTGGTAAACAAAGTGTACTTTAAAAAACACAACCCAGACAAGATGACTATTTCTCCTGGGCCTCACAGCAGCACTGGACATCTTCTTTGTGTTCAGGACTACACCATATATAAAACCAGCATCATCATCTCACTGCACATTCAGAAGTTCTAAAGCAGTCTCGAAGAAAGCCATGGGACCAGCAAGATGGCGAGGAGAGAAAAATGCAGGCCTGACAACCTGAGTCAGAGCCACAAATCCTACAATGCAAAGATAAAAGACTCCCAAAAGACGTGCCCTGACCTCAGACGCACCATGGCACATGCTCACCTGTAGGCACTCATACTCACATATTTTAAATGGCAGAAATAAAGCAGTAAGAGAGATGACATAAATGGATAAAGCCAAAACTCACAAGAAAGCCTGAGAAAGTCTTGCTGGAACTTGCTGGAATATACATTTAAGTGTCTGTATAAATACATATTTATAATTTATATATCAGACACACAACTACAACACTTGCCAACCAAGACAGAGCAAAGAAAAAACAGGTAAAGAAACAAACAGCACCAAAGCAGAAGGTGGTAACCCTACATTATAAACAATTATTAACGCAGCCGTACTGTGGTTTGAGAAAGGGTGACTTTTAAAACAACAGAAGCCAACTGCATTCAGTCCTGTGGCAGAAATTAAAGCAAGCTGATTTTCCTCTGGAGAAGGGTGAGGCTTTGGGAAATGAAGGGTGACAATGTGAATGGTCTCGGGAATTGAAGTGTCACTCCCACTTAGGTTAAAGGATTTTGACCACTGTCGGCAGAGAAGGCAACAGCATGAGCTAATGATGACCTCCATCCATCCCCACCCGTACAATACTGCCTGCCATAGTAGTCCTGCAGTCTCCCCTGAGGTGTAGGGCAGAGCTTCAGTCTTGGGAAAGCCTAGCACGGACCCACCAGCCCGACAATGTTCTCCAGATGGTGTTGTCAAATTCCAAAGGACAGCACACAACAAATGGCTACTTTTACAGGACATGAACAATCTGCTATGGGAACAGCTCCTGCCTTGGTTCCCCATCATGCTAGTCTCCGGAAACAAACTGAGGAGTAAAGCACAGCTTGCTTAGCCTACTTTTTTAAACACTGCAGAATCCTTGCCCAGAGGTGGTGACCTGGACCCCTCACATCAATCAATAATCAAGAGAATGTACCACAGGCTTGCCCACAGGTCAATCTGGTGGGGACATTTTTAAAACTGAGGCTCTCTCTTCCCAAATGACTCTAGCTTGTGTCAAGCTGGCATAAAACTAGCCAGCACAGCAATGTGTATTTAATGTTAAAATTTGTTTTCTAACAAACTGAAGGGAAAAGGTAATACTATCAACCATGATAGGACAAATGGTATTCCACACTTTAAAACACTAACAGCAAAACTGGATAAAATACAAGGTGACATTTAAAGCAATGTACAAAAGGCAGCAGAGGACTCAAGATACAGACAATTTTGTCTTCTTGCTTCCAGGATTCCCATCACCATACAGAGATGAACACTGTATGATGGGACACACACACATGCACAGACACACATGGAAACTGGCATGGAATTTGCACAGGGGTTTTGCTAAGGTCCTATTCACCAGACAGAGATAAACTGTGTGGTAGGACGCACGGACAGACAGACGGACACAGACACAGAATTTGCACAGGCACTGGGATTTCACTACAGACACCAGGGATAAATAAAGGGGCTATGAGTGTGTGGAATGGTGGGAAGTCCCAAGAGTCACAGTAAGTAAGGTGCCATCTCAGAGTGGCATGCATTGCTTGAAGACCTCAGACCCTTACTGAGAGGGAAGAAGGAAGGAGAGAGGGAGACGGTAGAGAAAGATTTGGTATTTGGCATACCATTCCCCAGAAATAAACAAAACAAATCCAATTAAAGAAAGCATCAGATGGTGCTTGCTGCCAGCTATAAAAATTCAAAGTTTCATGTTGTGGGCTATTTGTACATTGTGTGAAGGTGCATTACTGTGAATGGTGTAATAAAACCCTAAATGGCCAATAGCTAGGTGGGCAGGAGGCATGGGCTGCACTTCCAGGGAAAAGAGGAGGAGGAGTTTGGGGGAGATCACCAGCAGACCCTGAGAGGAAAGAGCATACAAGATGCAAGTGAGGTAACGCTGCATACAGGCAGAAATCACATGCATGCACATGCACATACAAAAGTTTAAAAAGACGTCATGGAGATCTACTTGTCTCAAAAATTTCCTTTCTGGAAATCACCTCTTTTAACATGTAATGATTTTGAACTGAACAATCCAATGAGTTTAGTACTGCTATTTTTTTTTTTTAATATCAATGGTGTTTAAAACTGTGAGTTTAATTTCTAATAAAGTGAATGCTAATAGGTAATAACCTGTAAGACACTTTCTGGTCTTGACTAACCTAAGACAACTTTGGTTCCAAGAAATCTGGCTACAGAAACAAGGCAAGATGAGCTAACAAGGCAACATGAGCTACTCACCCACCTTCAGAGGGGGAGAGTGGAGGGAAACAGCCACCACTTGACAGAAATGAGTGAGGAGCAACTTTCTGTGCTGCACCCAGGCTCTATCAGAGCACACTGAACCCCAGGGCTCCTTCCTGAAGCATCAATGCCTTCCTCTGACACACCATGCTCTCACTGAGTAGGCCTTTGGCCACTGGGCCCCAGCAGGAAGTGTCACTGGCCCAGGCTTACAGCCAGTCTCTCCTAAACTTCAAACTTACACGGACAACAGCAAGACAATGTACAGTGCAACCCTACCGATTTCACGTCCGCTTCCTCCGTCCTGGACGCTCCACAGGATGATGCTGCTCTCTGAGGCAACAGCCACCATTTTGTCTTTGTCTCCATGAGGACCTCCAACCACTTTTGCATTTAAAGCCACTCTTTCAATGGTCCAGTCCAGATATGGGCTTGTAAACACTTGCTGCCATCCTGAAGACTCTTTGATTCTGGTAAGATGTAAAGTAAACTTAGTGGTAGATGAAAAAAGAACAGAAATTGACATAGTAAAAACAACAACAAAACCCCCACACTTTTCACCTACCTATATTTACTGAATGCAATTGATATATCATCTGCCGGTGGAATATTATTTTAAGTGGGCAACAATTTGTTTATGCCGTGGAGTGTTACTTTAACTGTGTAAAAGTGTGTTACATTTGTTTATGCTGAATTTGTTTAACGATGTTAAGATGTGTGTTAAATTATGTAAAGATGTGTTGCATCTGTTTCACCTTGCTTTGGCTAAGGCACCTGATTGGTTTAACAAACAGCTGAAGAGATAGCCAATAGCTAGAGAGGACAAAGGATAGCAGGCAGAGAGAATAAACAGGAGGAGAAATCTAGGCTCAAGAGGAGACAATAGAGAAGAGAATGAGAAAGACACCTGGGGCTAGAAGCCAAGTAGCCACCAGACAGACTGACAGACAGATATAGCAAAAAAGGAAAGGAAGGTAAAAAGTCCCGAGGCAAAAGGTAGATGGATTAATGTGTTCACTTAAAGGAGTTAGCCAGAAATGAGCTTAAGCTAGGCAGAACACTTACAACTAATACTTAGTCTCTGTCTCATGATTTGGGAGCTGTTTGATAGCCCAAAGAAAAAGCCTGGTACAATCTACAAAATCTTATATTTACATACATAGGACATGTGACCACAAAAACGGACTAGAATATATATTCCTCCAGAGAATTTAAGTTTTATAAAATGCTTTTAAAATTTTTCCCACAAAGCTATTGCTGTCATTCTGTACAAACAATGAGGGCAACAACAGTCAGAATTTTAGAGGCATTTGTATTCCTTCCTGTTAGCAGTCATATTAATCCTGTCACTATCGTGACGTGGCAAGAACTGAAGTCTCTGTACCCTAGGGTGGCATTACTTCACAACCTTAAATCCCTTAGAACAAATGCACGGTGGGACTGAGAAGTAGTCTATGAGATGGTTCAGACACAACACTTCACAAGGCCACCGATTCCCAGCAAGAACATCTTTCAGCTTCTCCAGGAATCATATCCTCCTCTTCCTCCCCCCTCTCTCTGAGATAAGGTCTTTCTAAGTACTTGATGCTGGCCTGAGGTAGAACTTACTATGGTTCCAAACTCCATCCTCCTGGCTCAGATGCTCAAGAGCTAAGATTGTAGACTGGGACCACCATGCCTAGCTCCCACCTTGTTTGTTTGTTTGTTTGTTTGTTTTTTGAGACAGAGTTCCTCTGTGGCTTTGGAAGCTGTCCTGGAACTAGCTCTTGTAGGCCAGGCTGGCCTCGAACTCACAGAGATCCACCTGCCTCTGCCTCACCAGTGCTGGGACTAAAGACATACACCACTACCACCCAGTTGTCTCCCACTTTTAATAGATTCCTCAGTCCTATGTGGATTTAGGTCTTATAGACAGGTATTCTATGTGCCGGCACAGCAAGCCTCTAAGGTCTGGTTATATCATCATGATAAAGTCAACAAAAGTATCATCCTGGTACTGCCTAGCAGGAAGAAGGACAAAGTTGCCCTTTCACACTATGGCACTTGGTGAAAGCTAACTTGGGTGGCCACTGGTAGAACATGTGCTGCTTAATTGGTACAGGCATGGGCCACCATTTTCATTTAAATATGTATGCTCAAGTAATACAACTACAGTTCACAAAATTAAGCCTTAACTGAGAATTAATGTTTTCCTAACTTAAGCTTCAAAGCAATAGAGGGTAAAATTTAACAATTTTCCCCACATTTTAGTATCTGTAATTACCCTTCTCGGCCACCAGATGGGAGTGATGTGTTAAGATAAACAAAAACACCCATCCAATCAACTCTACAACTGAGGACTATTATTGAAGGAATGAAATACAGACTTTTCTGCCCTCTCAGACTGAACACAAAGCAGGGATTGTCCACACTGCAGGACTGATGCCACATGCCCTGTGTTGATGTGGTGTGACACAGGGTGGTTCCCAACAGACCTCGGTAGACATGCTGGTGGTCTAAAGGCGCAGGGGGTGAGGGGTGAGGGTGGGGGGGTGATCTCATGGCTTTGACAGTGGCCTATGAGCAAGCACTCAGTAGCCACCACACCATCCTCCATTTTATGGCTCTGAACTTACATAAACTGTGAAGAAAAATTATCTTATAAAAAGACCATGATCTTAAAAAGTACTATGAAATTTCTTTTCAAATCTACTTTATCATCAGTCTGTTGTGTGACTGAAGTTTATAAGGAAAGCCAGCACGATCACTGTCAATTTCCACACTGCTGAGTCACCAGCTACAGTGTGACTGTACCAGTCTATGCAAGAGACCACAATCAAAAGCAGATTCGAGCAATGATGTGAACAGTGTCGATCTTCGTTCCCCCACTCTTCCTCCTGTGGGATCGTCTTCGGTACTCTCTACAGCATGGTGACAGGGACACAGCTGCCACGCCACACAACCACCACAGTCATTCGAGTTCCTGGAATCCCTGTCAGTAATCAAATATGCACCCACCTAGTACTAAGCAACCATGAGACTGGCATCCAGGGAATGGTAAATATAAAACAACTCTAAAAAAAATCCCCTCACTAAATGAAGCCCATGATATAGGAGCTAGCTACAAAACCACCACTCCAAAGCTCATTTCTATACGATTTGGAAATGAACAAAAACCTGCAAAGCGCTCAGAACAAAGGCTTCCTCTCATCACTGCAACCGAAGGTCCCTCCAGAAGCAACCTGCACGGCACTTTCAGTAATTACAATGGGACCATAGACAACTGCTGAGAGTTTTTTTAAAGATGTTTTTTAAACTTTTAACCTTCAGCTGTTTTTTTGGTTTTGGGGGTTTTGTTTGTTTGTTTTCCCTTAAACAAAGTGACAAAAATTTCTAACTTCTTTGACTTTCCAACAACAAAATTAGATGGGATCTTATTGTGGGAATAAATTCTGGCCGCCTCTCTGCCATCGGAGGAGCAGCAGCATTGCCTGTGGCCCACAGCCCACGGGGCTTTGAAGACAGTCTAACTTCAGTTAAAAACAAACACGCTCACTCTGGACTCTGAAGCCCTCTTCACTGCCTTTCCGTCTAATCCAACTGCCTTAAAACTCCGCACACTGCAGACCCTGAGCTGTGTCATCTACCACACAGTTGTGCCTGGTTACTCCCAACAGTGTGGCAACTATACAGCACAAAGTTCCATTAGGCTCTGTGACAGTACGAGACTGGCTCCTCATAAAAAAGAAACTGCAGAGCTCACATTAGAATCATGCCTAATGCTGTCATTGTCACAACTAAGTGAGCCAGAAGCTCATCTGCATTTTCTACTGTCTGGGAAACAGAGAAGCCAATTAGGCTATCAGAATTAGGTACTAAAGTAGGTATCGAGTAATAACAAACTAAAGTTTTACCAAGTGAAGTGGGTGAAACATGTAGGAGAAAAACTGATGACTGATGATAGAACATATTCAATATAAATATAAATATAATTATCTATAATAAAACCAAATGATGACTACGGATGTGGTACCTGTAACACACAGCAAAATGCGCATAGGCAGCTACAATCCAGTTGTGGTGGCCAGCAACTATTAGCACCTTTCTTGGATCCACAGGAAATCCTGTCAGTTTAGAGAGAGGCATGTGCATCTTAAATGAGTTGGAAAGTTCTGGCTCCGAGGTCATTTCATGCTTCTGTCTGTCTGGTGAGAGGGGGTTGGAGCAGAGCACACTCATAGCTTATAGTACTGAGCATGCCTTCAACAGACAGAGGCAAACAGAGACCACACAGCCCTAAACCGTGATCTCACTAGCTAGCTCTCAACACAAAGATTGTCAACTGTTCTACAAACAAAAACAGAAAGAAAACAAAAACAGAAGTCATACTACACTTCAAATAAAAATGTGTTAAATGAGATTTTCCAAGATATTAATGATGAATCTGGACTTAAAATGCAAATAAAGGGCTAGGGTGTGGCTCAGTACTATAGCACCCAATACTCTGCTACAGCCATGGGTTCAACACACAGCACATAAAACTGTGAGAATATTAACAGAGTGTGTGTGGTCTGTGTGCAGCAAAAGAGTAATATTCAAAACTCATGGCAGCCTGTCACTAAGAACTAAGCACAAGCTTTCCTTCTGTGTTCCAACCCCACCCCCACCCCCACTTACCCAGCCTAACAGTCTCATCTCCATTTCCAGAGAGCACAGGCTGGGTTCCGCTTCCCCGGGTTTCGCCTTCTGTAGAATTTAGTCCATTCCTAGCATCCACAGAGGACCTAGCTGTGTTAGTTATTTTACGACTGGGAATGCCTACAAAGGATAAAACACAAATTTGTCTGATACCCTTCCAAAAAATGAAAAATACCACATTTTAACACAGAGACATGAACATCTAAACTTTGTTATATCTAAAATAGATGTTCAAACATGCCAGTGCATGTCAAACAAGCAAAAGGGAAATAAGATACAACCCAACCAATCCCTGATAGTTTTATTATTCACAGACAATGGGATTAAGGCATACTATATTATGTTCCCTTTCACCCAGCTTCAGTGTACTGAGCAATCAATCTATCCAGTCTAAGCTGCTCTTTAGGCTTATGGTAGTCACATGCCATCCTAACCATGTCCAAATTCATCCCCTCATACATTCAATTCTGAGGGAATCTTTTCAAAAGCAACCCCTCTCTCAGGAGCACAATGCTGCATAGGCAAAGGCCAACAATTCTCAGTAACCTAGGGGACGGGGACACTAATCTAACCCTGAAGAGCTCCAGGGCTCAAGTCCTCAGGCTAAGGGGTCAGTGGTGTACAAGGTGAGTGAGACCATGGACATCTATATTCTTGGTCTCTTACAGAGAAGGTGTCAACCCCTGCTCTTCACGCTTTGTGGCTTTACGCTACTAAATGGGCATAGCCTCTGGGGCCCAGCTTTGTCAAAAGTCATAACCGAGAAGGCCTTTCTAATCTTTATGTTTGCTCTTCATCAATGACAAGGCTGACAAATCTGAGCAGCAGTACCTGGTGGAGGCAAGTAACCATGGAACAGGACACTGCCACATGACGACCTCTCCAGCTCTTCACACAACAGCAGCCTTCGTACTGTAACAGTCAACACAAGCTTGTCGGGGTGGGGCGTGAAAACACAGACCTGCTCCACCACATCTACTTTCTCCAGTTAAGGGTGGTGAGAAAAGGAGACATGTTAGGAGGACTCACAGCTGAGGTCACCCTTTTACTAGGAAACACTAAGCACTGAGCTTTTCTCAGGAGGACCTGAAAGAAGACTGCCTTTGGGCAAGTGTGTCACCTAGGGTCAGTCCTTGGAGATCAGCACATACCTAGTGGAGTGATCCCGTAAAACTCGGCCTCGTGTCTGAGAGCACTAATGCTCACTCCCCTGAAAAGGAAGAGAAGGCTGTGAGCTCTCCACAACCACAACCCTGCCTACCACAGAGACAGACAAAACAGAAACTCAGCACCAGACTCCTCAAGGGACCAGGCCTCAAGCTCAAATCTTGTTTTTCTCATATTCTTTTTGTAATGCCATCAATCACCTCAAAGTCTAAAGGAGCACCACATGAACACACACTCTGTTGGGGCTGAGGAGATCAGTGGTTAAGAGTGTTGCTGTTCTTCCAGAGGGCACAGATTCAGCTCCCAGCAGCCAGAGGGCAGCTCGCATCCACCTGAAACTCCAGTTCCAGGGGATTCACTCCCTCTCCTGACCTCCAAGGGCACACTGTATGCCCAATGTACACAGATGCATGTGTGGACAAAACATTTATACACACAAAACAAAAATAAATAGAACTTTAAAAATATGTTGTTATCTACCTTAAAACCTTACATATTTTGATGGTTTGTGTAAGAGAGCTAATACAAATTATCAAGAGAAACCAGACAAGAAAAAAGACAGCAAAAACCACTGCCTTACTGAACTTCTTAACCACAAACTTTCTATTCATACTTCATCTCCCCTGTTGTGTCCTGAACACCCTGCAAGCTTCACCTCCTTCTCACTGTGGTCAGAACAGTGCTCACTTACACACACTACAATACATCTGAGAAGCCTTAGCATGCATAATTGTGAGTTAACCATTTCATGTGTCACCACTAGAAGGCAGGGGCTACGAAGAGTTGGAGCAGAGCAACTGCAGCCCAAAGATGAGGACACAGGGCTAGAAGTTCAGATCCATTCACATCACAGAAATGCCAGGTTGGTGTGGCAGCCCACTTGTAACCCAAGAATGCAGAAGGCTGAAAAAGAGGACCCAGGAGCAAGCTGGCTAGAAAAACTAACCTAAGTAAGATCTGGGTTCAACTGAGAGACCCTGCCTTCCAATAAAAGGCATAGAGGGTGATCCAAGATGGCTGACCCCAACCTTAGTTAGAACATATGGACACATGGACAGGGATGGGGACACACACATGCACACAAATGCTAAATACTCCCCAACTCCCCTTTAAAACCAAAAGTCAATGGTAAGGAGGGCTTAGGACAAACTGTTAACACAGTGTGCCAAGGTAAGAACAAATACACAACTAAAAAGCAGTCTTGGGCAAGCACATTACTTTGTGAGCGGTCCAAACACTGCCTGCCAGCAAGGCCTCAGAAATGATCAGACTCTTACCTTAAGTCGAGTTCTTTTGTCCGAAGAAAATTTAAAATGGGGGCGAATGCTGCTGGGTCCCTATCAATAAATATCTGCAAGTGAAGAACTGTTTTATTATCAAGTCACAATGAATGTCCCTCCTTCAACAGAGACTCACTGAGATTCCCTTGGTTTTGATGTTCCTAAAACTGCAATGGTATAGCTGTGGTCAGTCAGTGTGGTCATGTGAGTGTTTTTGTTTCTAATTACTGATAGTGCTTGAGGTAAGGACCCCGGGAAACCTCAGGCTGCTCCGGCAGAACCCACTGAGGCAGCCATCGTGACTCCTATATAGACAGATGTAGGGGCTGTCAACAGCTGTCACCTAGAGTGTAGGACTTCCACAGGCTTAGCTGACAACCTCACCATCTCTGCTTCAAGGTCTAGGTAGATAATGGATGGATAATGGATGGAACATCATAGAATACACAAGATAAAGATGCTTCCAATGGGAAAACCACCAACTGGGTTTTTTATTTAGTTTTTAACTAAAGTAACTTTATGCAGACACATCTGCTTTGGTACTTTATTTTGCTACAAATCTCATCCAATAAACAACTTCACACTGCTGTGGGTTGTCACTCTTGTTAACACTAGTTATTGAACACCATTGCAACCACCATGGCAACGCTGTAAACGTTGTAAGTGCAGAAACCAACCTCTTGACCTAAACTTTACAGGACTTTGTTTCCAGACTATATTGCCTCACAGGTTCATAAAAAAATGTAGGACTTTACCCACCTACAAGTTTGTACCACTCTAACACCAAAATATTTCTTATCTATACTTATTGACTATTAAAGTTTCAATTACTGACTAAGGAATTATACTGTCAATTGGCAATCGTACATCCTATAATCACTCTAATTACAGACTGCTATATATAATAGTTACTGCTTAGGGGGTCTCTTTTCATTTTAGAAACACTCTATGTGACAATTTTTAAAAACTGCCACACTAACTTTGTTTCCTAAAATGTGTTCTTTCCTGCCACTATGCACTAAAAAATACAAGCATTGTTGACTGAATTTAGAAACACGGCATCATACTCACAGCGCCAGTTTCATCTCGAAGTGTTGAAATTCTTCCACTCAGCAAGCTAGGAGCCATAAAACAAGGTAGAGTTAGTTACAAAACCTGAACATAAACAACTTCTTGACTGTCAAAGCCAACACAAGCAAATATCTGTCTCCAACTTTAAAAGAAAACCTCAATTTCACCAGGTGTGGGTGTAGGCCTATAAGTCCAACAATTAGAAGGCTGAGGCAGGAGGAACAGGAGTTCAAGACAAAACTGGATACATGGCAAAAACCTTTCTCAATACTACAAAAACAAAATTTCTAATTTCTAATTTAATTCAAATCATTAAAAAATCTTAACCTAACAAGGAAAATTTTCATATTTTGGCAACTAATCAAATATATAAAAACAAAGAATTGCATTAATTACCTGGAAAAAAAAGAATCTGGAATCCACATGAGAGTCTGTCTTGAGGTACTGAATCTGCAATTGAAATCACCTTGCATTATAAATGAGAACACACCTTGAGACATGAGACAGTAATCCTCACGGGTGGATATGATTACACCTGCACTGATTATATTTATCATGTTTACTACTTTAAAATTTTGCTACTTTGCAATCAGAGTTAAGATTTTCAAACAGCTTTCAGCAAAATCAAATGCAATGCTTCCTAAAACCCACTGCTTTAGTCCATCACAACAAATCTCTACGTCTCACTCAGTTCAGCTGTGTACAGATCTTTGGTGTGCTGCTGTCTGATGACTTGGTGTGTTCTATCTCATGTCTTCATCCCAGCTCAGTCACCTTCCTCATGTCCAGCACTCCAAGTCCCAGCCATCTCGCTGACACTACGGGGTTACCAAATCCACAGCGGCATGTCCAGGAATTCCATCCCATGTGACCTCTTTCTGAACAACTAGAAACCCTCTCTCTATACAGCATCCTTGGGCTATTTTCAATACATAAGTAAAGTGGGAACTATCTGCTCCTTCTTCATCCTAGCCTGCCATTCACTTCCTTTTGCATCTTCCAAGTGGCAGAGCAAATGTCAGTGGACTACAGGCCATGCTGAGGACAGCAGAGGTCAATGCACACCTAAGCACTGAGACAGCACTACCTTAAAACATTTCCTTTCTTGCTACATGATTACTCCTGAAAAACTACACCTTCCAAGATTACTTTCAGGAATGTGTTTAATAATAGTGATAATAATAATAATATGTTTTTAAAAAGTGGGTGGCAGTATTGGGAGAGTAGCCTGTAATCCTATAGCCTGGCACTGGCACAGACTCAACAGCTCCTATGAAAGAGAAGTGTGATAATTAAGTGCACAAAGTGTTTTGTAAACTGAGACACTGGTTCTTTTGCACAACCTGTGGGTTTTACCTGGTTACAACAGAACCATGTAAAGTATTCCATACAAACTATTGATAAACAAGTTACCAGACTGTCCACATCGCATTGGCATGACCAAGCCTTATGTCACTTAATGACAGTGACAGTAGAAAAAAGTACAAACTCCCTTCCACAAAAGATCTGATATACCCCAATTATCTCACAGACATTCCCTATTATTATCACAGCAAGCTTCTTAATCATAGAGAAAAATTAACTCCTCTTCCTCCATCCACAAATTCACAATCTGTAAGGAAGACATGCCCTCTCACTGACCTACTAGGGGAAAGAAGGAAATAACTGTTTTTAAAGAGGTATTTATCTTTACCATCTTATGTGTATGAATGTTTTGCCTGCACATACCCATGTGTACCATGTGCATGCCTAGTACCCACAGGGAACAGTAGAGGTTGTCAGATTGCCCTGGGACTGTGGGTGCTGGGGATCAAACCTGGGTCCTCTGCAAGAGCAACAAGTGCTCTTAACCACTGAACCAACTCTATAGCCACAAATAATTCATTTCTTACAGATATTTCTCTATATCTGTTCCATTAAAAGATCTTATAGAGATACAAGGATGCTAACTTCCAACTAATTTCACAAGTTATAATCTAAGTGTTGTCATGCAACAAGCTCCATGCCAGCCTGGGATACACAGCAAATTAGAGGCCAGTGAGACTTTGTCTCAAATAAATACATAAACAAACAGGAAAGAGTTCAATAAACATGTCCTAAAGAACACATGGCAAATTTTCCCTATTCAATAGAACATAGGTTACCACTAGTCACAGAAAACTTAAATCAATCAAAAGATAATCAGTCAACAGTGAATGGAGGCATCTGCAGAAAGACTAGCTTTCTAAGGCAATGATGGTGGAAGAGGTGATTGTCTAGAATCACTATAGAAACAAACCTTTGGGTGTGTCTGTGAAGCAGGTCCTAGATTAGAAGAAATAAAGTAGGAAGATCCACCCTAGTCCTAGCTTGTTTTCTTTCTGTTGCTGAGATAAAATATTGATCAAAATCAACCTAGGGAGAAAGGAGTTTATTGGATTTGGCTTCCAGGTCTCAGTCTACCAGTGAAGGAGGCCAAGGCAGGATCTCAAGACAGGAACTGAAGAAGACCATGGAGCGATGCTGCTTGCTGGCTCCCTTTTTCTTAGCTTGCTCAGCTACCTTCCTGAGACAGTCTATGCCTCCTGCCTGTGGATGCTACCACCCACAGCATGGGGGAATGGGAGAGGAGGGGGGGGCTCCTCTATCAATTAGCAATGAAGAGAATGTTCCTTGTGGCTTACTCAGCTTGCCTTTTTGTATAACCCAGGACCACCTGCCCAAGAGGGGTACCACCCACAGTAGGCTGGGCCTTCCCACATCAATCATTAATCAAGACAATGTCCTAACGATTTGCCTACAGGCCAACCTTAAGGAGACAATTTCTCAATTGATTTTCCCTCTTCCTACACAACCCTTGCTTCTGTCATGTCAACAAAATACTACAAAACAAAACCACCAGCACCATTCACTGGCTGGTGTTCAGGAACTCACTCGAGGCAGGAATCTGGAGGCAGAGGTCATGGAGTGGTACTGCTTGGCTCTGGGCAGAAGGTCTGAATAAAAGGCAAAGGGCTGAAGAGCAAAATGCATCACCCTTTGGGTGAGTGCAGACAGAGTGGCCCCTCCCTAAGCTTCCACACCACAGTGGCCTGCAGCCTCCAGCATGAGCCCAAAGAAGCTCTGACCTCTTCAAGTTGCTTTCTTCCGGTATTTTGTCACAACAAGAAAACAAACATAGCTGGTTTGTAGCTTCTGACATTCCATGCTCCTCACTTTCAGGAAACCATATTAAAGTACATAGGCCTGCTGAAAATCATAATGCCCCACAAGGCATTGTGGCATGCTGTTGTCATCCCAGCACTTGACAGGTGGAGACAGTGGTGGACAGAACGAGGGAAGCCCAAGACACATAATGCATCAGCATCAAGCCCACCCCAGGAGACGATCTGCAACTCTGAGCAAAGACACAGGAAAACTTGTCTACATGATTAACACAGTTCCCTGTTACATATACATGAGAGCCTTTCCTGTTTTGTATCTCATATCCCAAGCATGCCAAGGATGGATGGATGCATGGCAAACACATCAAAAAGACGACTAAAGAAATTAGTGTATCCAGTTATACTCCACTCTAGCAGCTTGCTACTAAATCTGAAACTGTGAAAGCGACCCAAGTCAGATTATTTATTATGAACCATCAGTATGATGCCATTACCCTCACGTTTTAAGTTTAGTTCTACAAGTTCCTCTCTCAGTGCACGGTCTGCCACTATTGTCACTTTGTGTTTCTGGAAACTAAATACTACAAAGGAACTCTCCCAAGGAGGGCCTGCTAGGCATACAAGAAGCCAGTTTGTTCCCTAAACTGTCCATAAATGGGTCCCAACCAAGTGCCCTTTCCTCCCTAAATTGATACCTAAGTAAATAGATTTTGAGTGGCACTAGAGTTCTTCACCAATGCTGTAAACAATAAACACTACCAGTTTTTAAAGAAATCCCACCAAGTACGAATTCAAACAAAAGCCTGCTTGTCTGGCTCAGTCCTTGAGCAGTAGCATGCTTCGTTGTCTTATTCGGTGACTTCCTTCAAGCCATGCCACAGGCCATAGTCCAGCAAGCCTTCCTGACTTCACACTCACAGAAGGGATTTTTCTCTTCCAGGACTTTCTTGACTGTCATAATTGTTTTGTACAAGGTAAATATGACTTCTGGCCCTCTTCTGGCTCTCAAGTGCCAACAGGTGTGCAAGTCCATGAAGGCCTATAAAGCAGTGTTCCAACACTTGGCATCAAATGCTGATGTTGTTTGTGACTTAGTCAACCCTAATAATCCCAAAGCTTAATGTTTACTTTTATGGTTCATTCCCACCTAACAACTTTTATCTGCTAAAATGTTCAAATCAGTAATAAATTTATTGCCATATTTTGTATTCTCTGATAATTAGCACTTTGGAAAATTCAGAATGCAGTAAGTATCAAGTTCCACAGATAAAGCAAAATGTTCAAGACTTGAAGCTTGAGTGTGCTGGTAGTCCTTGGAGCTCGGTCGATAAGACATCCACCTTTTTATTATTATTTTATTTTTATTACTGATACAGGTGGGATGGGGTGGGGCAGGTCACGATGTACATGCAGAGGTCACAGAGCATCTCTTTGGAGTCAGTTTTCTTTCTCCTTTCATCATTACATGGGTTCCAAGGATGAAACTCGGGTTGCCAGGTGTGCTCCCTTAAGTGCCTTTATCGGCCTAGCCATTGTACTGGCCACATCCATCTCCAATATACAATAAATAACAAAATAAGAGCTGAGGAGATGGCTCGATTAAGATCATTCATTTGCTGCTCTTGTTCAGTTCCCAGAATTCAGTTCGCACCCAAGTCAGGTGGCTCACAGCAAAACTCACTACACCTGAAACTCCAGCTCTAAGGGATCCTCTGGCTTCCACAGACACCTGCATTCACACTCACAATTAAGACAATGAACAATCTTTTCATAACTAACAATACAGCTTACTTTTTGTCATAATCCTCTGTTCTTTTGAGTGCCTGGAAGTATGTCAGTCATCCGCAGTGTCAAGATTTTAAATGAGCATAATCTTCTCTGTAGTATCGAACACTGCAGACCTCGTTATGGAGTATTTCACTTTTGCATACTTTCATGTGATTTTAGGCAGGCAGGGAAACCACGTTTCTTACATGAGGAGATAGACATTCCCGTATGACCTGGTATGTATGCAATGCAGTGAAGGTGCAACTTCTCCAACTGTTAAAACCTTGCTTAACAGCAAGGAAAAGGGTGACAAAGCATGATGACAAATCCTAGCTCAGACTTCTCTAGCACCCAGAGGGCCACCGAACTGTTTTCACTGTTGTTAACTTGCAATTTAAATAAGCAAAACGGTTCCATGTTTAAAGTCTTACACACTGAAAAATAACTTCCCAGAACAGCAAAATAGCCTATGCCCCAAGTATCCAACTCCCTACGTCTGTCCTTAAGCCTAAAACCCAAGTTCCCCTCAACTAGTGCAGGCAAACCTACAAAAATAGATTTAGTTGTTGTTTCTTGTTTGTTTTATTTATTTATTTTTTGACCAACAAACTTACTAAAAGGCACAGAATGGCAGTAGAAGGCCTAAGAGAGGATAAAGAGTACAGCTGGTTTCCTCGTTGCCAACACCTAAGGCGCTCACAAGCCAGATTTAGGCACATTCCTCTACAAGTGGAACAGGCCCTTCCTGTCCATGCACCAAGAGAAACACTGGAAATAAATGGCAATGCTGATGTACCCGGTCCCCTGAACTAACATTTGTATTACACAGTACCTACCAAAGAAGGCTTTCAAAGGCGCACTAGCTAAGTCCACAGCTAGGTGAACCCAGAGAAAAGGGAGGCCCACTCCTAAGCAACAGCTCAAGCCCTAGACCAGGCTTCATGGAGACCACAACCTGCTGGAATGCTTACAGCTCCGTGTCAGCAAGCTTGCTTGGCAAGGAAAGGGAAAGGCTCTGAGTCACTAGCTCAGGCAGACCCAGCATGCCAACTGTGCACCTTTGGCCTGACAACCTAGGAACTCGGGATAAAGACTGAGTTCTAACAATCTGTGCACTCGACCTGGGACCAGACTGAGGAATGCACAGAACTGCTTGGACCATAGCCCACCTGGCCGTGCAGACGCCGCCCAGGCTGCAGCGGACACCCCACCTAGTCGTGCAGACGCCGCCCTGCCAGCAGCGGGTACCCCTCCTGGGTTTGCAGACACCGCCCCCGCTGCAGCATGTATCCCACCTGGGCTCACAGATGCTGCGGCCGCGGGTGTCCCGGCCACTTGTACCCGCGCCGCTGCAGGCTCACCTGGTCCCCCCTACGTTCAGCTGCACGATCTCCCCGCTGCTGGCAGCCGCCGCGGCGAAGCTACCGCAGTGCCCGCCCGCCATGTCTGCGGCCAGAGCCGGGGCCGAAGCCAGGAGCGGCGGCTCGGTGGCCGGAGCACACACGGAGTACCGAGCCTCTCGCGGCGTCCCGGCTCGCACTCGTCTACCCCGCTGCGTGCGCCCCGGCCTCCGCCTCTCGCGGCTGCAGGCCGCCGGCCCGGCCTCTCCTCAGGGCCCGCTCGCCTCCATGGCGGCAGCCACAGCCATCGGGAGGACGGGTCGCCGCGTGGGACAAAACGGCGCAGCGTTGGCGCTTCACCGCAACAGAGTAGAGTGGGCGGGGTCTGCGAGAGGGCGGAGATTCAGGCGGCAGGCGGGTCCCCGGGCTGAGGGTCCTGCGCAGCTGTTGCCACCGGAAAGATTTCGCTATTTTCCCTTCATGGTCACACTGATTTGGGGAAGAAAGGAGACTTTTTCGCAGCTGTTCGGGTTGATGTCGAATGCACGTGTGCACATTCAATGAAGAGTTAAGAATCTGAACACCTGCAAACTCTGTAACTTCCATGCCGCCATGGCCCAGGACAGGAGAGACCAAAACCGCCTCCGGGATGTGCAATGGCCAGCAACGTGTTTCTAGAATGTAGATACACACGATTCTGTCTTGCTTACTGATCCGGATTTTTTGCTGTAAGCACTCAACACTGCAGTTCCAAACCTGGGGATGGATCGCGAAGCTCACTGATCTTTAGATCCCTAAACCATACTTTTAAAGTCTACTATAGCAATGTACTCTAGCTAATGGTGATAAAACCGAAATCACAGCTAATCTGTGAAAGTGTGGGCTTAGTATAAATGAGTGGGACTGAACCAGAACTTTACACACGCAGAACACTCGGCCCTAGCACCACTTCTAAAATAGAAGACTGGACTTTAAAATCGCCTAGAAACTTGCTCAAAATTACACAACTGGTAAAAGGGAGAGGGAAGGAAATGATCCCGATCAGATTTCATTGTATTCATGTAAGAAGTTCACAAAGAATACGATTTTTAAATGCTATGACACTGAAGAGGGACAGAGTTCTAGACAATGCTCTAGAATTAAAGTGGAAGGACAGGATAAACTACCAGGCAGACCCATGGTAGACTGCTCATGGGAAAGAAAGCTGTCTATCTTAGGGCTAGTATTGCTGTGATGAAACACCATGACCAAAGCAACTTGGGGAGAGAAGGGTTTATTTTGGGTCATCAGAGGAAGTCAAAATAGGAATTCAAACAGGGCAGGAACCTAAAGGCAGGAGCTGATGCAGAGGCCATAGTTGCTTGCTAGCTTGCTCATCCTGCTTTCTCATAGACCCCAACGATGGCAGCACCCAAAATGGGCTAAACTCCCCTGTAGCCCTACCTACAGCATGATCTTAAGGAAACATTTTCTCAGTTGAGGCTCCCTCCTCTCAGATGAAGCCAGCTACTGTCAAGTTGGTATGAAACTAGCCAGAACACTTCTTTAACTGAAAGAGAAATATGTGAAGGAGTGTCCCATGGAGAGATAGCTTTCAGAACCAGAAATAGTCAGAAAGGAAGGAGCAGATAAGGGCATTAACATATCATGGATTAATCTCCTGCTGGCAACAATCAGTCTTGGCTGTGGTTTGAGAAAGGAATGTTCTCACAGGCTCAAGCATTTGAAGGCGCTGCCACCCCACCCCCCAACCTGAGCTAGTGTGGCAGTTTTGTAAAGTTGTAGACATAGAGGCCTTGAAAGCTTACAGCAGGAAGTAGATAACTGGAGGTGGGGCTTCAGGTTTTACAGTCCCCACCCACTGCCCGCCTTCTTCATTTCCTGTTCCTCCAAGAAGTGAAGATTGGAGTCCTACTGCATGGCCACCATGCCCTCCGCTCCGTGAGGCACTGCATCCCCTCAAACTGTAAGACAAAATAACTTTCTTTCCCAAAGAAGCTTTCTGTCACATGCTGTCACAAGCTGGTCACAGCAGCGAGAAAAGTACAGGCTCTGCACTTTCATTAAAACTCAACACATCAATATATCAAAGAGCTTTGAAAACCATTGGAACAAACCACATCATATAAAAGAATTGGAAAGCGGAGAAGAATCCAAAAGAATTTTTCACGTGTTCAAAATGTCACATTATGGCTGCACAAGTGCCAAAATACTGAATCACCTCTATTTTCTATTGCTGTGAAGGGACACCGTGGCCAGGACAACTAACAAAAGGAAACATTTCATTGGAATAGCACATACAGTTTCAGAGGGTGACCATCGTGGTCATCATGGCTGCAAGCAGACAGGCTTGGCACCATGACCTTACACGCTGCAAGTTGGAGACAAAGAGAGGGAGGACTGGGGCTGGTGTGGGCTTTTGAAACCTCAAAGCCCACCCCACCCTGTTACACACTCCTCTAATGAGACCACACCTCCTAATTCTTCCCGGACGAACTAGAGACCAAGCATTAAATCTATGAGCCTATGGGGGCCATCCTCATTCAAACCACCGGCATTCTCTGTAGTTGATAAGATTCCTGATTGCCACATAAGAATGCATTCCTGCGTTATCACGTTTTTGGATGAAGTATCGATGAATTTTATTATTTCACAAATAACACATCTCCCTACTAGATGTACTCAAAACTGTGTGTGGTGTTGGCTACCTAAGTAAAAGAACAAAGGGTAACGCTGCCATGCTCAGTTTGGCAATGGGGTACAAGTGTGTAAATGTGAAATTTTGAGGAAGTACGTCTTAAGTCTATGATTAAGGTGAAAAAATGATAAGACACATTTGAAGCTGTGCTCATTTTTTTCCTCTGAAAAATTTTAAGTCTGACCAAACAGAAAAAGGAAATAAAATACATATTTTTGCTAATAGATAAACCAAAATGTTAGCCTATTTATGAGTAAATGTCTTTGATAAATAGAATTAAAATATCAGATTTCATCTTTATCTTACATGGCCAAGACCTTCATTTTAAGAGATAATAGGCATAGAGGAAAGTATTACTAGATACTTTTTTTTTTTTTTTTTTAAAGCACTTCTTTATTTTGTATACAGTGTTCTGCCTGCATGTATCCCTACAGCCCAGAAGAGGGCACCAGATCTCATTACAGATAGTTGTGAACCATCATGTGGTTTCTGGGAATTGAACTCAGGACCTCTGAAAGAGCAGTCAGTTCTCTTAAACTCTGAGCCATCTCTCCAGCCCCTAGAAACCATTCTTCACACATTATATCCTACTTATTTTTTGCTGACATAATTTCATAGGCTTTCTCCCTATTTATAATAATTAATTATAATGATATGATTGGTAGTGCTATTTTAAAAATATTTATTTTTATCTTATGTGTATAGGTATACTGCTTACACATATGTATGTGTACTATATGTGTTCAGTGCTAGTGCCTATGAACACCAGAATAGGGTGTCAGATCCCCTGGAAGTAGAGTTATAGATGGTTATAAGTTGCTGCGTGGATACTGGGAATTGAATCTGGGAGGATCCTCTGTAAGAGCTACAAATGCTCTTGAGTGCTGAGTCATCTCTCTCTCTCTCTCTCTCTCATTTGAGAGAGCTCTTAAAACATAAATTAACTCATTTATATTAATCTATATTCTGCCACATGGTTCATTCCCTCAACATTGTACATCTAACTTCGTCTGTATCTGGCTGGTGAACTTCCCATGTCTCAGATTCTTTTCCAGAGTTCCTATATCTCCTTAGAAGTCTCACCTATTGGGACAGCTGTTGGCTGTCCAGCTCTTTATTAAACCAATCAGAAGGTGCCTTAGGCAGGTGAGCAAAGACAGAGATACATATTCACACAGTGTACAAAAAGATTATCCCAACACACAAGAAGGGGTGTGACACGTCCATGCCCTCCAAGAGTCTCCATGTGCTCAACTATTTGGAAATTCTTTGAACATTTTCCACTGCATGTTATAAGAAATTCATTGTATAAACATGACTCAGGCATGGACAATGATGCTTGAAATAGATTAAATTAAAAGGATGCCACACAATGCTAATGGACTGAAAGTTTAATAGGCTGAATGTTTCAGATTCCCCCCAGTCTCTGTATGGAGCATTCTCCCCTCCAGGGTGTGGAGCAGAACTCTTCTTGAATGGGCCATGGTGGTGTGAATGTAATTGGCCCCCATAAACTCTTTGGGAGTGGCACTATTAGGAGGTATGGCTTTGTTAGAGTAGGTGTGACCTAGTTGGAGAAAGTATGTCACTGTGGAGATGAGCTTTGAGGTCTCATATGCTCAAGTGATATCCAGAGATCTGAGATGTTGCCTTCAGGTCAAGATGTAGGACGCCCAGCTCCTAATCTAGCACCATGTCTGCCTCCATGCTGCCTTGCTTCCTGCCATGATGATTGAACCGCTGAAATATAACCCAATTAATTGTTTTCCTTTATAAGAGTTGCAGTGGTCATGGTGTCTCTTCACAGCAACATAAACCCTGACTAAGAGAGAGTCTTCTTAGACAAGCAGATCAAGGGGTTCCTGACAGCCATGTTGCAGACAGGAAGGCAGGCAAGAGTCTGTGTTCTGCTTTGGGGAAGAGAAATGCTGTTTCCTATGGCTGCCTTTAGGAGTGAGTTGTGAGCCTAAAACTACAGAGGAAAACCAGACTATATAGATAAAAAACAAACAGAACGTGCAAAATTGAGCAGGCCGGCCTCCCAACCTCTTCCCTCTTGCTAGCTTTGCCAGCATTAGCTGGGCTCTTGCTTCCTAACTGTACAAGATGGCACCAAAGGCAAGTCCTGCCCTCTGAAGAGCATGCCCTAGAATCTGTAGATCTTTTCCTAGGGCCTGGAGGTAAAGGAAAGCTTCCTGGCTCCATTCCAGAGAGTGCCAGCACTTTGCACCATGTATTCGCTATTTATTTTCCCTGGTGCTGAGACAAAATACCATGACCAAAAGCAACTTAGAAGGATTTATCTTGGCTTACACGATACTGTCCAACAATGGCTGTCTTCTAGTGAAGTGGTCCCGTGTCTGGTAGTAGCTTAGCCTACAAGGCTGGATGGAGCATCAGACCCCTGACACTAGAGGTCTAGAGAGGTCCTGGAGAGCCCTGTGCAGGTTCAGTCTATGTTGGAAATCCAAAAACATCGAGGAAGA